GGGGGGGGCAGACACTCCGTACAATGTGGGATGATATGGAGGGACAAATGGGTAAGTATAAAGGACACCTTCTGTTACAATGACAGCCTCGTGATGTATCTGCACACACGTACTGTAAGTACTCCTGCGGAGTTACATATGGCACACGCAGGTAAAAACAAAAGGCGTACTCAAATCAACTGGCATTTTCTAAACAATGTGTATGATGCATGCTCGCGTACACAGATAAACAGACACACTCAAACGTTTTAAACGCCTTATTTGCTCATTTGTTACCGAGGAACCATTTTATTCTTGTCAACCTTTAACTGCAGAACAATGACGCATATATATATATATATACAGTATATACATATACATACAGTATATACATATACATATACATACAGTATATACATATACATACATATATACATACATACATATATACATACATATATACATATATACATACATATATACTGTATATATAGTTTGTGTATATATATATATATTGAAAATACTGCAAACACAGGTAACACACATGCCTTGATAAATGACAATAAACTTCTGCAGGTTTTGACGCTCTCATCCATTTCCATCCACCCAAGGCCATCTGCGACGGTTCAGTAGGTTCTAATCCATTACCTGATGAATACATTTGAAAAATTAATTTCGAGCCAGACGTGTTGCAGCTTTCTTTTTTCTTTGTTTTTCTCTCCCTCTACCATACATCTGTGTCTTACCCACAGGCAACGCTAGGACATACCCACTCAGCACACGGTCATGACTCCAGACAGTCAGCATGTATACACACAGATCAGGGAGAATAAGCAGGGAAAGAAAAAAAGAAGTTAATGCTCCCCATCTGCCACTTCTTGACTCCTAATTTGAGTTTCTATTTCTGTTAGTGTGTCATTAGTGTGTGTGCAGACTGCAAAGTGGTAAGAATGAATAACTTTTTCATGCTAAAATGTAGAGACTGGGAGCATTGCTAGTGAGTTAGCTTCCCCGCATGTACCCAGATGGCATGTGTGTGTGTGTGTGTGTGTGTGTGTGTGTGTGTGTGTGTATATATCTATAGCAGCACTTCCTCCTCTACCTCCTCTGAACCAACATCACCATTACCGATGTTCAGGCCTGCTCCGGTCCCCGTCGGTTGTTATTGTTCCATGATTCACATTAGCAGGAAATCTTTAACCTCTGACCCCGCATTATCCGGACTCTGTTTTTCTGCCATTGCTTGTGTCAGAGGGGACACAGAAAGGGGAAGGCATGATCATTAACCTCTGTCAGGGAAACAGACTCTTTTTTCCGACAAAGCCCCGTTTACGCCCCTAATTGGATTTAATATGAGCACCGAAGAAAGGAAGGTTCTTTTTTTTTCTCAAATGGGCTGTGTAGCGATAGAGACAGCAGAGAGAGGCAGATAGAAAGCAATATCAGAATTACTCTTTGCAGGTTGAAAGTACTCTACCTATTTCTTTTTTTTTTGCTGCCACTTAAAACACTTTCCACAGAATACCAGGGGATCCCCGCTGTCTCCTTTTCGTCCATCTCCTGCAGAAAGCATTGCTTTCTGTAGATGTAAATATGCGCTGCATTGTTTTCTTTGGTAGTTGGTTTTGTTGTTGAGTTTTGTTTTTTTTTATTGTTTTTTTTAATCTTATTTGGATTTTTGTTATTTTTACTGTATTCAGACCTAAAGCATTTTTGTGGAGACCTGGTCCAAGCGCAAAAATATGGCTCTTCTTTGAGTATATTATTGTCAGAAAATGTTTTGTAAAAATTTTGATGATGATATCAGAAATAAACATCTAAAGATGGGAGCTGCCATGTCTTGTTTACTTTAATGTAACCTGCATTAAAGGAGAGTTTAACAGATTTTACTCATCAATGGATAACTATTCATGAGCAGTAATACCCTGTGAACACAGTGTTTGTGTCAACTTAACAGTATATGGTTTTCTTTGGTCATGAAGGAGCTTTCTCATCATCTGTGAAAGTTACCAGTGATGTAATAATGCATACAACAAGGTTACCCGGTACAATAGGAGCTACCTGGGACTAAAAGTTAAACTTCTTCATCAATTTTGATCGTTTTTCATTTACTTTATGAAGGTCCAAGACTAAAGTCCTGATTGCTCTTTTAACACCAGGATTCTACCAGCCGCAGCAACTGGTCTGCCAGACTGTCACATGTAAATTCATTGTTTGTGTTCATAAGCACATAAATAATGCATTTGTTTGATGACGTTATTAGAGATGATGCGATATTACCAAAACACAGATCATAGAGCAGGTTTGGCAGGTCTTTACAATGCCCTGAGCTAATTTACAATGTTTATATCATTTCATAAAGTGCATTGATTTAGCTATACTGCTGCAGCACATCTCTGGTCCAAACAGACCAATTTGCTTTGCGATACTAAAATACAACCACATTGATATATAACGTGATGCCTACTATATTGTAGGCTTCAGGTCATAGTGTTTTGTCTATGACAAACTTAATGTCTCTGATATGCTGCATGCGAGAGACTGACTTTAAGCCAAGATGCTAACTGTTATGCCATTTCGATGAAGGCCTTATACCATAATAATGTATACTCTGGTATACTATGAAGGCCTTATACCATAATAATGTGTACTCTGGTATACTATG